TATATATATATATATATATATATATATATATATATATATATATATATATATATATATGTTGATAGGTTTGCACTGATAGATTTAATGAGGATTTTTACATGAACCGGTTTTGTGTGAAGTTTTAAATTTGGTGGAAACCATATATATATATGTAAAAATCCTCATTAAATCTATCAGTGCAAACCTATCAACATTTTGTATTATTTGACACAAAGCCCATGAGCGTTTCTTTTGGCCCAGCTGAACACATAGAAGCTACATGTGTAAGCTAGGTATGTAAACATCCGTATGACAATTCATGAACCCTGACCAGCTACACCGAAATAATGGTACACCGCAATGGAAGGTAAAATTAAATACATATAAAAGGGGAAAAAAAGAGAGATATGGAGCAAATTAAGTCAGAGCAGATTAATTACATCCTTCTCTCAAACACAGACCGACTTAGGGCAGTGTACTACCTTCTTTTCTACTGATCCATCTCTGCTAAGCCCCCCCACAGCCCACAGCCCACTCCCACCCTGCTCGCTCTCTCTCTCTCTCCCTCTCCCCTCTCCGTATAGGAGTCTCTGGCTAAAGGCCAGCATCCATGCGGCCCATTTCTTAGCTGGAAGTCTCTGAGCAGCCTCAGGCTTGGTTGGACGCCTGGCCTTCACCCAGTGTGCTCCTTGGCAGCTGCCAGACTCCCTGCCCCGCACTCGCTCGGGCGCCTGCTTGTTAACCCTGCCTTTCGCCTGCTGACATCCTTCCCAGCCAGAATTAAAGGGGATTGTTACTTCTCAGCTCCATTTGACTTTTGGGGGAACTGAGGACACTTTTTTTCGTAATTAGTGTAGCTACAATAACCCTGCAAGGTATGATCGATATCATGTGATTTAAATTCAAAATACACCATCTAAGCTCTCAGGAGACATTCGTCTAACTCAGCATGCACAGCTTAACAGTGATAAATAAATATTATTATAAATAATAATAATGTTGCATTATCGAACGTTACGTTGTGTGTCATGGATACTTTTCGCTCCAAATCTCCCGACCACTATGTCGAGCTGAGACAGCAAGACCAAGACAGCGAGACCAAGACAAGACCGAGGGATCTGAGACAAGACAAGACCAAGACCATAGACCGTCGAGACTGTGACAAGACCAAGACAGCGTAAATGTGGTCTCGAGACCTACTCTATTATTTGGTTATTTGAATGGTGGTTTTCCTGTTTTCATCCAATCACACGGCCAGTAGCAACTGCAGATTATATTTATTGGGGGGAGCCATCAGGGGCCAGTTATATTTATGGAAGGGGCCGCAGCTCACTGTGTAGCCACTATGGTGCTGCTCAGAAAACAAAAATCATATTTTTCATTTGGATTATTTTGATGCGGGGTGGCCACATTTTGACTAGGGAGAGCGATGAGCACCTTAGCATGTCCCTGCACACAGCCGCCAGTTCAGGTATTTTCAGGTATTCAGCAGTACGGTACCCTAGAAACCTGTCAGCTGTGCTACCCGCTGTCTCTGGTTTAGCATCTGCAAACCACTCTAGCATTAGCATTAGCAAACCATCTGGTTTGTGTCTTAGTGTAGTGGACACTGAAAAACCAAACAAATTCCAATTAAGACGCTTCTTAATTGTATTTTCCAACTGAATTTTTCCATTTTCCGCTCAACAACTACCAAAGCATGTTGTGCTTTTCTTTTTTCTTTTTTGCCAAGTGTTGATAAATTCAGTCATGCTCAGGCCTAACATGGACAGCTAATGCTGGCTGATATCATGAAGAAGCACAAACCATTGAAGCATGCGCCTTTTTTGTAGACATGAACTTTTTTTAGCAGGATTAGCTCGTTGAAAGATGGATGCAGCGATCAGTGTTTGGGGAAAGTACTTGGTTCCTGAAAGAAGTTCACAGAACTGGGCTGCCAACACTTTTTATGCTTCTGTCACAGAACACAGTGAAGGAGCATCCAGTCCTATGCATCAGTAGATTTCATTTTGACTAATGAGCAGTACGCAGTGCTGAACTCTGCAAGAGCTGTTGTTTAAAGGGTGGGAAAGTCAACAATTGATTTCACATTTCAGCAAGTGACAGACCACGAGACTGGAAACAGATGATGGGTTGTATTGTTTTGCAATACAACCCACCACAATGAAATATATACAATCATGAACAAAGTCTACGATAGAAAGATATGGTTAGGTATGAAACCGTAAACATGGGTATATGATTCTGAAGTGTTGGTCTCGAAGTGACACACTGTGTCAAAGTAACCAGTAAAAACAGGAACTTTCAGGAAAAAAAAAAAAAAAAAAGTTCAGGTTCGTGAGAAAAATCATGACAAGCTTAGCTGCTGAACGCAGATGCAATCTGACAAAACTACAAGACACAGAGTAACAGAAAAGACGTGTTTTTCGGAGCTATTCCCCTGAATTGGCACAATTGCTAGATATCATGCTAAATCGTTAGCTGTGGTGAAAAAGGGTAACAGGTCAAAAAGACTGACATCAGTCCTAATCTACACCCTCAACACATAATTGGGACTGTTTAAAGGGGGCATGGTTCTGTATCCTCAAAAAGTGCATGCAGTCATAAGAATAGAAAATACAGTACTGATGTAAAAACCACTGTGTTACACACAACACATATTTTGCCTTTGGTTCTGGAATGTTCCAAGAATTTACATTTCTCAAAGAAGCTCAGTTCAGTAGGTAGATCTGGATGTGACCAAGTTAGCAATTGAAAAAGAGTGGGTGGTACTGATTGCATAACTGCTACGTTGTTTTCTTTTCCAGACACATCTGTAAGTTGAGTTGTTGACTTAAGCACCTACACCTCGTTGTATTCAGAAATAAATGTTCCCTGAATCACAACTGACAAAAGCATCATTCTTACTGGGATGCCAAAACGCATGGTACTAATCCACGTCATTAACGCTATGCCACACTGCTGGTT